TTTTCATATTTATTATCGTGGAATTTTTTTTTTTTTTTTTTTTTTTTTTAAGTACAATTTAGATAGAATATAAATAATTTATACTTATCGACAAAAATGTTTTTATGATATATTATAAATGAAAAGTCAAACAATAATTTTCGTTGCTTCAGCATTTGTAGTAGTAAAATAATATTCACGTAAAAACGGTTCGAAATCCACCACGAGACATTGTTTTGCTGAATAAACCTACTGTGAGAAAGTGACAGTAACATAAGTGATGATTTCCAATTTATGAAACTAATACGGGAGGTTTGCAAGCAATCGACAAAAATGTTTGAAAGAAAAAAATAAATACGATGATATGTCAAAATGCATTGACATAATATACGTATATATACTTTTATTGGGTAAAAATAAATATATTTTTTAGTTAATGCATACACATTGATCATTTTAGTACTTGGCATGCAATGATGCAATACTTTATTACCGAGAACAAAGAAAAAATTTATCTATTCTTTTATTTTATTATTTTTTTTTTTTTCAATCAATATAGATACAAATTCGTAACTTGTATGAGAAACAAATATATTTCAGGTATCATCCGTAATCATTTTATAAACATCAATGCAATAAAATTACCAAAAAATGTCTTTCTGGATGAAAAAATAAAATAAAAATGATTAGCGATAGCATTAGGGATTCGAGGTAAAAGGACGTCAATGTATCAATACAGCATTCGGTATATTATATACTTGCACGAGCCGGCAATTTAACCAAGGTAATGATGCCCAGGCGCATTTGTATGTAAATATATATATATTTCATACATATACGCACACGAAACATCCTCGGTATATATATATGTTGTAAGCTGTTCTGATGCGCATAGTTGAAACAAACTCACCAAACTATTGAAATATTTTTCGATCCCGCAAAATTGGGGAGAAACGTAACAAAATAAAGTTGTTTCGGTGAACTTGTTTGTCATAATCAGCATGAAAGTTACACAATATTTTTGGAGGAGAAACGCTTGGTATGTATATGGTACAGACCATTCATTTCTCCTCGTAAGTATTGTAGAGGAGAAGAGGAGAAAAAATGCCTGCTGTGTTTTGAGGAAGAAAAATGAAAAAGAAAAAGAAAAAATCCCAGAAACAGCCTACCTTTATCCTCGACACGGCCTCCTCAGCCTGGCACATCCTGGTCGACTTGGTGGGCTGTCCTTCGCACGCCAGCTGAGTCGAGCCGAGGTAACGCGCCCGAAAGAGCACGCCTTCGATCAGCACTGCCGGGTCGTTCAGCAACGCTGCAATCGTCAACGACACGTGCCATTTAGCCTCCCTTTCCGTTAATTCGCCAAATACCGACAGATAATCCGTCGGACAGTGCAAGGCGCGCATCGTGATTCTCGACGACGACACTCGCTCTCTGTGCACTCCCGACGGAGCTACTACTATCAACATCACTAGCTCCTCGTTTTCTTCCATTTTTCCTTTTTTTTATATACATATATTTTTCACACACAAAACCACCATCCGCACTTATTCTTCAGAGAGATGACGAGCACCGAAAACTGATAAGCAGACTGATACACCGCAGATCAAATATTGACGGTAACGTCGCGCCCGTCATCTCTCTATGTTATCTTTCGATATAAAAAAAAAAAAAAAAAAAAAAATTACACGCTTATACTATATTGAAAAAAGCCATGTATGCAAGATCTCGCGTATAAATACTACGGAGGATGTATTAAAAAGACGTGTGTTGTTACTTACGTACCATTGAAAGTTAGTAGTGGAGGGGTAGCGTGGGACAGCGTTCAGACCATCGCCGGAGCATTGGAGTTTTTTTTTTTTTTTTTCCCCGCACGTCGCAGTTCCATGTTAGTTATACGTGCACAATGTTACAGAAGAGGGAAGGAGTGGCAAAATCAGAGATTCGATCGAGGAAAAAAAAACAAATTAGATCGGTTAGATTTTTTCTTTTTTTCTTCCCAAGCAATGAAAATTTGTGTAAGTGTGTCTATGCTAGCGCAACCGGTTTTATCTAGATTAGAGAGATTTACTCGCGGAGCTGCGTTAGATTATAGTCACCTTGGCTCGGTCTCGCGAGCGCCGATTCATTGGGAAATCGACTTTACATTGAGTTTTATTGCCGATTGCGTCACAGTGTATTATTGTATTAGAGACTTTTAATATGTCACTACGATTAATTTTGGGATGGAAATTGTTAATTGTTTTGGTTGCGAAAAAATGTTGGGTTCAAGTGTAATACGGAGGGCAAAGTATATATTTATATGGGAAAACGTAATGCAATCTCACCCTCTTTGTTGCGGCTCTTTTTCTTTCCTTCCTTGTCCTGAAAATAAAAAAATAAAAAAATTTCATCGTCAAACTCGAGACTTTTTCGTTGTTTGGATCTTTGAAATGATACATAATGCGCAGACTCGGGCACTAAATTTTTTTCGATGTCACTTTTAATGTAATATTAAAATAAGTGTTTTTTTTTTTTTTTTCGATCGTTACTTACTTTTTCCAACGGAAACAATGCATTACAATTTGAGGGTGAAAACAGTTTAGAATAAGAAAATTAGTCAAAGTATTTGAATGTATTTTGTTTCAAATACTTTGCAATGGAATTTAAGATTTAAAACTTATTTGCTGAAAAAAATTTTTCAGTATGGTACTGTAAAATAATGGACTTAATTTTTGAAAAAAAAATTATTTTCTTTCCAAGTGTTTATAAATCCACAAAATAATTGCACCCAAGCCTGTAAAATGTATACTCTTTGTTTTTCGATCATGCATTTTTGTAATATTAAATCATGTATTGTATAATGTTAATGCGTAATTATAATTATGTAAATTAAGAATAAAAAATTTGTTTGTTTTAATATGGTATACCAAAAAAAAAGAAAATTTGATCAAATATGTTGCTATATATAATAATCATAGAAATAAAGTGTTTGTAACGACGACGAATACAAGAATCTCATTGTCACATACAATATAAGTTTGTTTCGTGCTGGGGTGACTATTTTATTGTGAGATTACACAATTAGTGCAAAAGACAGGTAAAATCTTTCTGGTGGCTCTTCAAAGGTAAAATATGAACTTTTCGATGTATATTTTTATATTATTATCATACCACAAAATTCGCTATTTACTATCTTTGGTCAAAACAGATTGAATCCGTACTCATCAAGGCTTCATGAGTTTATCTCACGGATCTTACATTTCATATACAACATTTTCATATTTATTATCGTGGAATTTTTTATTACAAGCACCTGTGAGTTCCTCAATCGTTTTTCCTCCAGCGTGAATCACTGCAAGAGCTTTATCTTGTTGAGCCAAAGGCAATTTTCCTTTCATGATCATATTGATAACGTTTTTTCTGGCGATTTCCAAAAGTTTCTTTTTATCTATTTCAATCCTTTCTCTGTTTAATAAAAGAGCATGAATCAAGGGTACTATTTTATACTTGCAAACTATTTTATCTCTTAGCAATACTTACATTCTTTCTTTACTTCTGCTTCTACCCCTTCTGTGGTTTCTGTTTCTATCTTCACTGCGACTTTTATATATATCATCCGCTTCTCTAGAATGCCTCCCCCCTCGCCTACTACTGTACCGTTCTCTACTTCTGCCTTGGCGCCTGTTTCTGTTTCCTGAATCAAAATTTCACAAGTTGTGTAAACTCAACACAACAAAGTCAATGTAAATAGGAAAATTGTGAATTACCGCTTCGACTCCGTGATCTCCTATCACGTGAATGACAACTACTACTCCGGTCGTTTGTTCTGTCTTTATTTATAGTACTTCTCCTGTGATCGCTTTTGGAGTGCAGCCCATCTTTATCCTTTACTTTATTTTTCTCTTTTTCTTTGAGCACAAGTCGAAGATCGTTTTTATTGGTGATGTGTTTGGACGAGGACGAACTGCTGGAATATTTTTTCCTATCTGATCGCATGCCACTAGAGCCGCGATCAGGCGGAGGTGTAGGACTCAGGGTTGGCGTGCGATTGTTGTCAGCTCGCGCTTCGTCTTCATCGCTGTCTGATATTTCGCCATCCTCCATGCGCTCTTCTTTTTCTTTNCAATTTTTTGTTTTCTTCGGTAACTTTTATTTCATCACTATCATTATTCGGAACTGAAAATTTCTAAAAAAAAACAAAAACATGGCACCTTTGGACATCTCAAAAGTAAGACACGACCTCGAGTTTCATCAAGGACATACCATTGCATATCTCATCGAACATCCAAAAAAAAACAAAAAACAAAAAAAAACAATTATGTTCCATGAAACGCATAAGCTAGGCAAGGCACAACAATGCGTTGTTAAAAAACATGTATGTGTGCGTTGATAGGTGGTGCCTCTGAGCGTGCAGGCGTCGTGCGTTCTGGGGGGGGGCGAGGGGGAGTGCACCTTTATCACCTTGGCGACGGGCTCCTTGAGGCTTCGGGGGGACGAGGGGGAGGTGGTGGTTTTCGGCTGCGGGGACGTAGCGGAGGCCGCCGGTGGACTGCCGTCCGGGACCAATTGCTGCTGATCGTCGGGGCTCGTCGCCGAGGCTCCCGTAACGTCGGACCTCTGCTGCTGCTGCTGTGACGACGACGCAGACTGCACTGGCTGTGGCTTGGACGGCGAGCCCAGGGCTTCCTGGATACCACCGCCGAGAACTTCGAGCGCGAGGGACGTCGGCTTCACCACCACCGGCTGTTGCGTCGAACTGACCATGGCACTCGTGCTGATGTTGTTGTTGTTGTTGTTGTTGTTGTTATTGTTGTTATTATTGTTGTTATTGTTGTTGTTGTTGTTGTTGATGTTGTTGTTGTTGTTGTTGCCGCTTGGTTTTGGCCGATCGTGGTTGGGCAGGAGCGTCCGTGTCTTGGGCTTGCGCCAGCTCTGGAGGAGACCGCGGGGACCGGGTGCCCACTTTGTGTTATACATACACATATATATATAGGTACAGGCGTACACGAGAGATCGGACGACACGTACGATGTATACGTAGAGACACAGACAGATGGATCATGGTGAATGGAGTGGATGGATCTGGTGTACGTATATATAAGTTACGTGGAAATCTACTTGGGTATCGATCGATCGGTTAACGTATGGAGATGTTTACAGACAGACGACACAGGCACGACGTGACACTTATACATACGTAAGGTATAGCTGATATCGTTGGACGAGCAACGATTTACTATATCCTTTTTACGTTGTAATTACGCGTGGATATTACAACTAGCGGCTAATTTACATCTTGAATTTTTTTTTTTCTCTTTCTTTCTTACATATTTAGCTGTACAGTATATTGTGCATCGACAATAGGGGTAAAAATTGCATCTTGGAACTTTGTGAGCCCAAAAATCGGGTCGTCCAATCAACTATTGTACAATTGGATGTTCTATGGTACTCAACTGAGCGTGTACTCGTACTTTTTACATCAAAACGTTTTTGTACGTTCCGACGAAGAATACGAGCGTACAATCGGTTGAGAAAAAAAAAAAATAAAAAAAAGAAATACACTAATTAAGACTTTGGGAGGGTATTGAAAATGTGCACTTGAATATTAACGTGATTACTGATACTTGGGCGAATAAATACGTGAGTTTGACACTGTACACAATTGCGGGATAAGCACATTGAGACCATATTATCGAGTATTTTCTATCACACGAAGTAAAATATTCTCCCGAACTGGAAGGCTCTAGAGATTTTTCGGAAACAATTGACTTTTTTTACTCGCGTTTTCGATTATTTTTTTATTTCGGAAGAGACCGAGCAAAGTAAACATTATTTATACCTTGTCGTCGTAGAAGCCCTGATCGTCAGTTCGCTGTTGTCCGAGCAGCCGATCCGTTTCGAGATCAGTGTCAGCCTCTTCCTCGTCGGCAGCCTCCTCGGCCTCGAGATCGACGTCGTCGGCGTTACGCCTCATTTCCGAGTCCTCGCTGTTGCTCTCCGTGCAGATTCGTCTCCTGTCATCCAACAAACTACGCCTTAGTTAGATGAACCAACTTAACGTCAGACAATGGAAAGAGACCGCGAGGTACTCGAGGAATATTAAAAAAAAAAAAAAAAAAAATGGTCAAAGGGTACATTGGTGGGTACCTTGGAATCCATATGGGACTGACGCTGGGCTCCAGGGGCTCATCGGACGGTGACTTGACGGGCAGCGTTTTCGTTCGCTGCAGCGCCATCCGAATATCCTTGATAGCCGCCTCGACCTCGCCACCCTGCTGTTCCAGAGCTACACCTTGCCGGCTCTGCGGTGCCGGAGGCGGCGGAGTGCCCAGTGGATCCAGCCCATCGAGTTGGAGCTCGCTCGTCGTGTCGTACGAGTTATCCTTCTTTGTGATGAACAGCTCCGGTGATGCCGCTTGCAACCTCAGACCCACGTCTTTGGCGTTATCGTTGCTGTCCGTACCCAGCATGTCGTTTCTCGTCCTCTGTATTATTTCCTTCTCGATCTCGTTGATTTGCCTCTTCATCAGCATCACTGTCGGGTTGTTGTTGTCGGTGTCGCTCGCGTGACCGCTCGAAAGTCCGTCCTCGAGTACGGGCATGCTCGTGTATATCCTAACAACGACACGACGGTTATTAAAAAAAAAAAAAAATACTTGAATGGATAAACGACAAATTATGATCAGTTACTAACCTTAGCGAGTCGCTGTTGTTGCCGAGGTCACCGAGAGAGCCGAGCAGACCACTGGAGGGTAGGAGCTCGTTGTCCATCATCATGAGGGACATCTCGCTGTCGAGATCCCCGCAGTTGCTGTCGCACTCGGTCGTCTCGGGGCTCAGGGTGAAGTTCCTCGAGTGGCCCACCTGCAGCCCGACCTCGGTCTCGCCGAGGTCCTCGCTGCTGCCGGTGTCGGCCGACAGGTCCAAAAAATTGTTCTCGTGCTCGACCTGCGACTGCTCGGGCTTGTGCTTCTTCGGCGACTCGTGCACGAGAACCTCCTCCGTCGTCGGCACCGTGGCAAGCCTCTGGCCGACATAGGCACTGCCACCAGCTTGCCTACGGAGCTCGTAGTCAAGGTCCTGGAAGGTAAAGGAGTCGTCGAGCGCCAGCTGCTTCTCCTCGCTTGGCACCGGACACTTGAAAAACTCCTCGAGGACCTTGCGCGTCTCCGAGAACTCGTAGAGGTAGTCGAAGGTACTGCCCCCGAGCGACTCGAGGCTGCTCAAATTGTCGCTTGGCAGAACGTACGGCTTTAGAGGGCTCTCGCTTCTCCTCTCGAGGGCAGCTGCCTCCTCGCGTTCTTCCACCTCCGGCTCTTCCTCCTCCTCGTCTTTGGCTTCGTCTTCCTCCTCCTCGTCATCTTCGTCATCGTCGTCTACATCGGCTAGCCTCGTGGCTGGCGAGAGACTGTTGCTCGTCGCGATGAGCGTCGTAGTCGAGACCAGAGGCGTAGCTGACGACATTGTCGTCAGCGTCGATGCGCTTACGAAACCCAGGGGAGATGAAGCACTCGGCGTCGAGACTCTCGTTGGCGACGTCGTCGAAGTCGCCAGTGCCATTGACGTGGTCAGCACCGCGTTCGTCAGGGCCGTGTCGTCGTTCAGCTCCAATACGGAGACATCGTCGATAATTATCTCGTTACCACATATCTCTTCCTCCTCCTCCACCTCCTTTGAATTGAAAAAAAAAAAAAAAAAAAAAATTTAGTTTACGATTAGCATTGAAGCATCTTTGTGGGTTTACGACCGTGACTTGCCTCCTTTTGAGTGGGCGTCGTTGGCAGTACTCGCTGTGGGAATCCTGGTCGGGGCGTGGCGTAAACGGACGAGGGGGACGACAGGAGGGTCGGCAGTCGGACATTTTCTCGCATGCCGTAGCGCCGAGGGCTGCCCGAATATTGCGCGATGGGCAGCTCGCCGATGAGCCTCGTCGCTCCAGCTTTATTGTGCTGCTGGTGATGGTGGTGGTGGTGGTGATGATTCAGCTCCGGTTTTGGAAAATCGCTCTCGCACTCGCTCCCCGGAGTCATCATCTATGTTTCGCGCATAATTTTCATCATTGGCATCGTATTCTTTTTATAGGTGTAAAAAAAAAAACTGAATCGGTACCTTGAAGAAGTCGGATGTGTTGCGGTGGTAGGTCGTCGTGGGACTGGGACTGCTACAGAGACTCGAGCTGAGAGGCTCCGGAGGCGTCCTCGTTTGCTGCTGGTGCTGTAAAAACAATTCGTCCACATGCTGTTGTGCCGAGGACGTGGTTGTCGGGGCATTAGTCGAGCCGAGATCGAGCCTGAGGTTCTGCCAGTTGTCGTCAATATCGTCAAACACGACGACCTCGCCATCGTTCACCAATGCCATGCCGGGAGGCCCGCTAACATGGCGCACCAGTGGCGTCTTGTGGTTAGACGACTGATAACCCTGAGGAAGGTATAAAAGTATGAATCCACACTTTGAGTAACAGTGGGTTTTGCGAATGGCAACGAAAATCATACCAGTGAGTCTATGCAATTTTTTGGCAAGCCGTACTCGAGATCTGTGATGCTCTTGGGCCCGGTCGTACCGTGTTCGGCATTGTTGCTGTTGAGTATCGAGTCGTAGTTAACAAAACGCCCGCGATTGTTCTTGGGCGAGTCGTAGTCCAGGATAGACTTGCTCGGATTTCTGCGGACCGAGTGCACCTCGCTGGAAAACACGGTTTCCGTCACCTCGCGATTCATTCGCTGCTTTCTTGTTTCTCCACACCTGTTTGATAGTTGAGTGCATTAGTTGAAAGAATAAAAAAAAAAAATACAAATTATTCCGATACTCACTTGCTCCTCAGTTCCCAGACGGTCTGTCTGTTGGGAGACTTGTTGTTCTTCTTAAAGGATAATTTGTCCGACTGATTATCCTCGTTTCCCAGTGAGTTCGAGGCGGCAAGAAAACGAGACTTTCTAGCGACCTTGCCTCTGCTCTGTGAGAAAACTTCCCTTCCACCAGCTATTTCGATTATCCTGCGAGAAATAAAAAAAATATAAAATGTTGATTTAAGTAAACGATTGGAATAAAAGCACGAAAATTTCGAAAAATAAACACACACAGATGATGAATGAAATGTCAAAAAAAGACGCTCTGATTGAAATTCGTTTAGACCAACTGACACCGTAAAGTAAAACCGAGCCCATCTCCGGTGGAGAGTCTGCAGTTACAATTAACAACTTTATCCGTCAGTACATACATGATGTGAGAGGGAAAAAAAAAGATTCCAAGCGTCTGACATCATTGCCAATCATAACAACACTTCCTTTCGCCTGTACAGAGAGCACAGATGTTTCTTTTTTTTTTTTTCCTTCCCTCTCACGTTTTTGTACATAATACAAGTATCCTGCATTAACCTAAAAACTATATATATCCTCTCTCTAAAATCGATGAAACACTCGTGTGTGAGAAATGGATAAATATTTTCTTCTCCCACCGACCCAATAAACTAGTTTGAAATTGAACAAAAAAAAAAAAAAAAAAAAAACACAACACGAACACTGATGAGAGCAACTTGATTATTCCTCTCGTAAATAATATTCAGCAAACAACTTCGTTCCAAACATCTTCCGATGGTTTAAAAGTTCAAATGAAACGGTATATATGATTACCCTCTGCGTGCACTTGTCGCGAAAAAAAAAAAACAAAAAACAAACCAAGTAAGTATTCAAAACAATAGTCCCGCAATCAGCAATACACGCGCACGACACTCCCGAGATAAAACTTAATCGTGGGTGGAACACACACACAAAACCCCGTGTGACGTATGGAGATTCAAGTTTCGGCTGCGTGGAGGCGCTGCCGTATACCGATTTTCATCCAATCGAGTTACATGAGAAGGATCGAAAATTGTGTTTTTTCACACGCACCCACCCTCATGATGAAAAAAAAAAAAAAAAAAAAAAAAAAAAAAGAGACAATAACCCTATAATCGGACACTCATCACCGATTCAACGAAAAATCGAGTTTATCATCGCCCACGAAGATCCTTCCACCCAAAAAACAAAAGCTCCCCACCCTTTTCCCACTGCAATATACACATATGTAATGTAAAAGCTCCTCGCGCGCTCTTTCTCTCCCGATATAAATATACAACCCCAAATAACATAATATGTATATAACTCGACGCGCCACGACTTTTCCATTTCAATTCGCCGCTCAATTGTATGTATAATCTGCGCTCTGCTCATGTAGACGCACATACACGTTTGCCGTGAATTTGGGTCGCGCAACCCATTGACGCCCCGTTGTACAATACACACCCCTTCAATGTTGTTGTACACATAACATAATATAATGTAAGGGAAAGCACCTCGAGTCGCGTAGCTTGTAGCTGCGATCGCCCTTTGCCGAGGTGAGTATGTACACGGGGCTGTCCTCGGTGCCGCTGTCGTCGTCCAGTTGGGATTGGGCCAGTTGGTCGGTGCCATAGTGACCGGGTAACGGGTCCTCGCTGCGGCCCGACGCCGAGGACGAGCTCGAGGAACAAGCGGCCGCCGCCACGTGATTTTGGACGTGCTTGGCCGGGCAATCGGTCCCAGAGTTGCTCGTTACGTTGTTGGCTTGTTGGCCCATCAACGTTTCCGCCGTTTGCTGGTGCTGGTGGCGGGACACCCGCGACGACTTTTTACGGCCGTTCGTGCGCTTTCGGCACCTATATACGAATAATATACATTATTTGGTTTAATATATATATTAACGAGTGGATGAGCTGTTAGTGTGATCTTTTGTCTCAATGGAGCTCGATCGGTTGGATTTTTTTTTTTTTTTTTTTATGGCCAATGAACCGTCACTTTTCTTTTAAATAATGACACATCCAATCGAGCTGTATCTCATCATCATAATTATATTCTAAAACATGTGTATTTCTTCTTTTTTGTACGACATTTTTTTATAATCATTGTAGGTATATGCCAATATGGGTCTTGAAAATATCCAAAAGTGGCTTGTTAAAAAAAAAAAAAGATCTATATTTGTTTTAATTGCAAAATGATTATCATGTGATTTATTATCATTCATCATAGTTTTTTTTTTTTTTTTTTTTTTTTTTTTTTTTTTTTTTTTTTTTTTTTTTTTTTTTT